TCATTCATCACTACAGCTCTCTGATGGAGATTGTTTCTGACCGGTGAGTCTGTTGGAGCCAGCGCTACATTTCAACAGCAGACCTTGGGTGAGTCTCCATGTCTCTGTCCTGCACTTTATGTCGCTCTTAAATATTTTTGCTGGCTTTTTCTTCCAAACATCTTCGAGGAAGTAGAAGCTGCTCTCATCTGTTGTCTTTGACAGCAGTGACGGGTAAAGAAAGTTTACGCCGTCATTTCTGCTGTAAAAGCCAACATTTATACAGAAGGTTTAAGAGAACTGGGATGGGCAAGGTGTGGATTATTGAGACTTTTTTTTTTTTTTTAACTTTTAGCTTTTCTTGGGCAGTTCAGCTATTAGAACTATACATCTTCACCCAGAGGAAAGAACCGGAACAGTTTATCAAGTCCTGGGTCTTGCGGTCAGTTGGGTGGAATTTAAAGCTTTTAAATAAAAGATTTACTCTAACATGTTAGAAATATTAACTAAAACACTCAACATTCCTCTCAAATGTTTTTTCAACTTTTGGGAAAAAAAAAAGATTTTCCAAACCTGCCATTAGTTAACTAGGTTTCCATGATTCCAATTTTTTTAATTGTTCATTTTCTTAAGGTTGAACCGGTTATTAATTACAACATAATAACATTAGTCTTGGAATATTATGACCTATTGTCATAGAGTTACAGTCCAATGTTTACCCTTCACAGTCTTTCAGTAACAATTAGTCTTTGCAGTTTAAATTGTGTCGTCGTTAGGGAGTAAATCTGTGTTTACCTTTGTTTCCAGGACACATGGACGATGACTCAGTTGAAAAAACTAATCAAAGTCATTATCTCCATGAGGTTTGAGTCGAGTTTGGAAGATGGCAGTGAAACAACTCTGTGCTGGCTTTTTTTTTTTTTTTTTTTTTACAGCTGTCGTCAGAATTATTTTGACCCAGAATAAATAAAAAGAGGAAGGCAGAAAAACACAGGGATGCTCCATTACAGATGCAGAGCAGACCTGGTAGAGCCATCAGAGAGCGTTCAGCCATCAAGTTCAGCTGTGGGGAGGCCAACACCACTGAAAGGCCGCAGTAGAACGCACATGAAAATGCTACAAATAAAAGCTAAATGAGACAAATATGATTTAAAGCCAGCGCAGCACCCACTGGTCCACTTGGTCACAGCAGGAGTGCTAGCAGTTGCGGCTGAAGTAGAAGAATTATACAATGGCTGAGGTAATAAAGACATCTGGTGTGCGGAGGTAAAACAAACAGGAGCATATGCAAAAGTACAACACACACCACCTGAATTTCAAAAACCCATACTCAGCTGCAGTCCCAGAATGCCCAGTCTGTAAACAAGCAAGCTAATTAGCTATCTAGTTAGCAATTTAAAGAAAAACCAGATAATAGTTGGAAAAGAAAAAGAAAAAAAAAACAAACAGGCTGTTTTTGTTGGCAAAACTGAGTCACTGAGAGTTTCTTCTAACAAACCGCTGTGAAGGAAAAGATTACACACTGAACCAAAGGCTTGACGCTCTGACCGCACCTTTTGTGCTGAACGGTCCTTGAACTTCAGCCGATGTTAACAAGCAGTAGCTGGCCTGTCCTTCACTCCACTCTGACGTACTGAGGGGCAGAGCATCAGGTCACAGGGCAGGTGTTTGTGTCCCCTGGTAGGGATTCAGTTAATGCTTTATGTTTTATTGCAGTGGCTGAATGTGGGTGAGCCTGCCCTGCCCTACTGTACTGACTGAGGGGAAGTGGTCATAAACTGCAGTTTCTGTTTTCTTTATTTCGGAGGTCTGAGGCAGCAGGAAATTCTCAGATGAGGCAGTTCTTGCACTAAACCTAAGCTGAAGCTACAGAATGCTTATTCAGTCCCACTTATTTATTTTCATGAGGACAACAAAGAAGTCGTCTGCAGCACAGCAATAATGCAAAACAAAAAAAGGACAACAGCGCAGTCGTAGAACCTGAGGGGGAATACAGTGGCGATGAAGAAAAACCTAACAGCGCAGTCGTAGAACCTGAGGGGGGAATACAGTGGTGATGAAAAAGAAAAACCGTCATCTCATCTAATGTGTTTAAGTGGATAAAAAAACATTAAATAACTGTCACATAAACCGTCTGGTTTCTCTGTGTCAAAATGACTCACTTCAAATATTGTAGTAAGATTTTCTTTAACCTTCATACAGGAACCTGTCAGCACGAGGTTCAGTAACCAGTCATGTACCATCACACTGACACTCTACTACTGTGAAGCGTGCTGGAGGCAGCGTCGGTCTTTGGAACTGCTGTTTTAGTCCAGGGAGAGTGAGCTGTGTTTTAGCTTGAAAACAAAACCAGACGCCAGGTGTTTGTTTGGAAGCTCAGAAAAAATTTTACAATTCAGAATGATGAATTCCAAACCATCCATCTCATCAATCAAAAAAATCAATGCTGGGACCTGAAGGTTACACAGCTTTACTCAGTGAGAGTTTTAGACATTTTTTAATTTTTATAAAATCTATCATGGATTCTTATTGAGACAAAAAAAAAATTCTAAATGATGTTTTGCCCCACACACCAATGTAAAAAATTCTAAATGATGTTTTGCCCCAAAACACACCAATGCATTTTTAATAAGGGTGTGTAACGTTTTTTTTTCTCACCGCTGTGTACGGCTGTCAGATCATGTGATAAAAAGCGATATTTGTGGTGATTAGAGAAAGCACTGACTTCACAGGCCATGGACAGGAAGCAGCAGGGTCGTGACCTGTGGCTTCAAAACGATCCACCCCCGACAGAGGCAGAGTAAAAGCAGGATGTCAGACATCCATCACGACTACAGCACCGTACGGCGCAGAGCAGCGCACATCTGAACGAATGACTTCTAACTGTGTCGCTGACGTTCACATGTCCTGGTCTGACCCCCAGCCTGAGTCAGTGGAGCTGCTGCTGCTCTCTGTTCCTGTCAGTCCCACTTCCAAACCTGCTGACAGGCTACAGGTTCACAGCAGCAACAAAAAAAAACATCGCTTTGTCTCTGACCTAGCAGAGGTGCAGGACAATCTTTGAGTCCTCCAGGAAACTCAAGAGTGTAATCCCCTCACATGAGCTCTGATAAGAAGTCAATTGCATAATCCTTCCTGACAGACAGAAAACCCAAGTCATAATGAGATCCACCTGCACCAAAACATCAGTTAACTCCCTCCTCCTTTCAGCGCCTGTGACCTGCGTGTGTCGGCGGTGGAGCTCGTCCTACCTGGGATGCTGTTGTAGAGGAACAGATAACTGTCAAAGTCTCCTTTGGGCTCCTTCCACGTCACCAGGAGTTTGTCGGGACTCAGCACTTTGAAACGAAGCCTCCTCGGCGCTGGAACTGAAAAACAATTAAACACATTTAAAATCAGCGTCAATAACAGCAGGGAATGATTGGGAATAATGATGGAAGTGTTGCTGATTTTAATTGGACGTGTCAAAGCCACCGACAAACAGCTGAATTACAACAATTATGTGATTACGTTCATTTGCTTTGGCTCATGAAGAAGAAAATACAATTAGAGTTATTTAGAATCAATGTCTCTTAATGGAACTGAGGCTTTATTTCTGAATTCTGCCACAAATGAACCAGAAACACATATCTGTGCATTTGATTGTGCGAATGAACAACAGAAGGAAGACCTAAAATGAGGATGACTGAATGTCTGCTCTCTGTTCTGTTGAGTTTTTTTCTCCAAGTTTCGTTTTGTTTTTATCCTGTTACAATCTTAGTCTGCAGAAACATAAACCAGAAAAATATGATATTAATATTATATATATAGTAAAACAGTCCCAGTAAGAACTACATTTAGATATTTTTAGTAGCACTAAGTAGAAGTTATGTAGCACAAGTTCAGTTACCCAGGTATGAGTTCCACGTGAAGCAGAGAGGATTTCACCGTCATCAGTTTTTACACTCACTGTTGGTGTTGCTTAAAGAAACAAGATTGATTAGAAGAATCTTTTACCTATGATTTTACTCCATGTTTGTTTTCCTTAAGACATCTTCCTTATGCAGCTGAATCGACAACGATTAGAAAAACCCAATAAAGGCCAGAAGTTTTACAACAACAAAAAACTTTCTGCCGTTTCCATTATCGGCTCATGTGACATTGAACACAATTTACCCAGCTGTAATTCACAGTTTCCCATTTTGCTCACAGCTTTTTTCTCAGTTGTCACACTGTGCCATCGTACATATACTGAAAATGCATACGATGAAAAGGTATAATTACACCAGCCAATAGGAATCTATGAATAATTTAGGAGGGCGATAGAGCTGAGCAGAATATTACCGTGGTGTATTATGTGTCTGTGTTTGATAGCAGGTGAACTGAGGTGGTAGTCGGAGTACTAATAAGAGTGTGGGAATAATCTTGGCCTGGCACAACAATGAACACTCACACACACACACACACACAGAGAGAGAGAAGCAATGGTTTACAATAAAAATGTAATTATATTAAAACGAATGACCAACTATGACTCTCTTTGACGCCATAAACACATCCAAGCCTGTGAGTTAAGGTCATTTCCACGGACGGCACCTATGATTAACGAACAGAGACATAATGACTCTCAATAACGATGGCGTCTCAGGAACTGGCAGGGCTGCAGTTGTTTACCTCCACACTGTCATAAATATCGACAGAAGTGCAACATTTCACACTCGCTCCCTCTGGACCTAAGTACCAGGATGCTTTTGTGCAACTCCTCACCCGTCGACTCTGCGTAGATCACGGTGTACTGTGAAAATACCGGTATAGTTAAAGTTTCCCTGAAAATTTACTGCGCTGATATCCATGTATAGTACAACAGTATATCGCACAAAGCCAGGCCGTCTGTCTGAGAGAGTTGTAACGCTGGAGTCAGCAGGCTCCCCGTTCTCTCATGCACCAGCTCCTCTCCAGGTAGTAAATGAAAATAAAGCTCCTGCCATTTGGCGGAATTTTACCGACTACTGCTACAGGAACAAAACCACAGCAGCCGCAGTGAAACGTCTGAGTCACTCACCCCACACTTAATGAGAGAGCGCCACAATATGACACAAATCCCTTCTACAACATTCACCATGTTGTGCTTTCACACAGCTTACCCTTAATTCGGAGGGTAAAACTCCGGAGACTGTATGAAACGTGAACTGGATTCAACTGGCAGCCCAGTCTGAACTGTAATTAACTGGGTTACAGTGGTGCAGGCGCAGCTTGAGGCCCCAGTTCCAGAGGAGGTGACTCTCCAGGATTAGCTGTGGTTAATCAGCACCAGTGCCTCCTGGAGTGGCTCCTCTGCTCCACTTCATCATCTGCCTCTGTCTCCGTCCACAGTCATCATCCACTACGAACATCATCCTCCAGAAATCCTCACTTGGCTGACCGCCCTGCTCATTGTCGGCTCCCTCTCAGCCATTTTTTACCTATTCGTTACTCATCCTGCTTCTTCCCCTTCTGTGTGCATTTGCCAAACACGTCCCCACTGTGCCTGAGTTATAGGGCAGAATACGAGAGACAAACCATGGGACAAAAATGGGCAGGGAATCAGGACAAAATGTCCTCTCTGCATTTGCAACAAGACATTTATTTACAAATTCGCTGACATTTATCGAGGAGAGACAGAGGATATATCCAACCAAGGAGGTCAGAAATGGAGTTGCCAGGGAAGAAGGAAAAAGGAAGAGACCAGAGAAGATTTATGAATGTAGTGAAGGAGACATGGAGATGACTGGTGTAACAGTAGAGGAGGCAGATGATCTGCTGTGTTCATCCCTGAAGGAGAGGCTACAAGATACAGAAGATGAATGTTTCGATTGTTTACACAAAAACAACAAGATTAACTTTACCTTTGATTTAAGTAGAAAATAAACCAGGACTTGTAAAATGTTGGAATATAAATCTGTTCTGTACTTTATCAAAACTCACTCTAAACCTCACTGCAACAGAAACTTCACTAATACTGTGGTTTAATGGATGACAGGTACTGCCATGACAGTGTCACCAAAACATACCATACCATAGAGGGTCTGTGTGGGTGTGTGTGTGTGTGTGTTGTTCTCTGTGTCTTTTAACTGAAGTGGAGTTCTGTCACTAAAACAATTATTCTGTTGACTAAGACCGCACTAAACCCAAACCCACTCTGTTCACTTCTCTTTCTTCACACTCCGCTCACACACTCTGGTCTTTTATTGCAGCTTTTCACCGTGCCCTTGGATTTAAAGTCTCCTCTCCCCTCTCACCCCCTCCCTCTCTCCTTATCTTTCTCTCTGCTCTTTTATCGTATCTTCTCTCCTTTGTGCTCGTCCACTACTGTCCTTTGGTGGTTTCAGACTTTTTCTGTGTCTTTTATCATTTTACCTTTGTAACCGATGCCTTCTTTCTCCACATATCTCTGCTGCTGCTGCTGCTGCAGAGGTGTGTACCAATGTGTATGTGCTTGTATGAAATCTCTCCTACGCTTGTGCCAAATATTAGAAAGTAAGGAACCCACCTGATGTGCAGCTCAGCCATTACATTTTGCATGGTCGTTAACCAGAAACTGTCACAGTTAAAACCTTGACCAATTTTTGCAGGACATGCTTGACATCGAGCAGGAACGAACTGATTCAATTATGAATTTAAAGGTTGGCACGACAAACTGTTTCCTTCATATCATTAAACAAATCAATAAGTAAAGGAATATTACACTAATGTTTTTAGTAAATTCACCACATTCCTTACTTTGAATAATAAATAGGAGCAGACGATTGGATTTCAAAATCATTTGGAAAATTAGCAACATGACCGTATCATTCACCCTGATTTTCTTTTTTTTTTACATCAGCTAATGCATATTTTAGCACAGTTTGAAGCTGAAGGCTAGCACTGATGTAAGCACAGATTGATAAATCCCTCTTTCTTTCTCAGTGCCGACATGTTTTCAATAGAGAGTAAAAAATGTCAGTACCTGCAAGAGTGACCTTTTCACAAAACTGTGAAAACAGAGCTTTGTTCTGCACGCTGTGTAGAATTAGCCAAGGTCAGGGATATGAGAAAGTGACTTCATTCATTTATTTTCAGATAACGATCCGCTCTGTGATGGTTTTGCAGATGGTTTTGCTTTCTAAATACTTTTTGGACCTATTTTGAATCCCAAACAAACATTTACAAAAAGTGAATGTAATAAAATATAATGATCTTCTAGTTTTCAATTTACTCACAATTAACTAACTCGGTGTTAAACCCTGGCCTGTTTAGTTGGACACAAACTCTCAGGAATTGAAGAAAGACACGAGGAGATTTTCTTCAACAGCTCGCTCTTTTTTTTTTTAGTTTTTATAGCGATATATTGCCACCTAGTGGAAGTGGATTTAATCGTTCTGCCTGACACTATTGCATTATTATGAACAAATTCAAAAACAGTTTTCAAACTAATTAGGTGAAATGGATAATTTAAACTTATCCTGATCTAGGCCGACATCTGGACCATGTCATCAAATGAGTCAGTTAAAAAAAAAATCAGGTCTTCCCTAAATTACACATTACAAAACTATGTCAGAAGATTATATTATTAAACTAAAAAAAACACAAACATCATATTGACAGACACGATCCTTCGACTCGTACAACATGAACCTGATTGAACCACAGGTTGGGATGCAGTAAAGAATAATGTGGCCTTATCACATTAAACAAAACCAATCAATGATGTCAATGGCTGAAGGTCAGGACTTAATGAGATTTGATCAGTTAGACAGAACAATTGGCTTTACATCCACTTTATGGAACGTTACTGCTCACTGTGAATGAGAAAGCACAGGATTCGCCACAACTGACAAATTTTGAAATGTGAACAAACCAGAAGGACAGGGAGGCTACACCACAGTAAACCATGAAGTTTATGTGCCAGGACATTGGATCGTTGGAGGCTATGTGCAGAGTTTGGCTTTGTGCGCTGTGACACGGACTAGGTGACATCAGAGCACGAGCTGAATGTGCGGACGTGCAGCAGGTTCTTCCTGGGAAAACTCAGTAGTAACTTTTGCAGCCTTTAAAAGTCCGGTGATGTTCGTGATTTGAAGCATCATGGATTTATGGATATCAATTCCTACAGACCTCAAATAATACGTACTAATACATACATTAATATGAAATACGACTTAACAAAGAGGGAAAAATAATTACCTGCTTCTTCGTTAACTACAGGCCAAAAATGAAAAAGCCTCCTGTTCATCTCCCACAGTTCATTGCCCTATTTAGTCAGAAGTGGCTGATGATTATGACAAGCTGGATTAGCATCAGCAGCAGGGGCAGAGCCGCGATGACACAGTAGAGTTTGATAATTTAGCCGTTTTATATTCAGAACATGTTG